GATGGAGTCGCTTGAAAGTCCTCTGTGTCTAGTTGAGTTCATAAAGATCAGGCACCTCCAACGTCTTAGTCCAATCCCCTAGAAACGAGGGACAGCATTGACGGACTGAGCTCCACTAAGTCATTATGGTAATACTGCTTCAGTGATGTGATTTACTAGGCATAAATGTAATAAAAGCTTCAGGCTATAATGGAGACTGTCATATCAACCAGCTTGTCAACATAATTGCCACTTCCATCTGCAATTAGATCCCACTGCATTCACTGATTTCCATTTCCATGTGAGCCATTCAGCTGCCTGTTAGTCATCCAGCAGGTTAGAGCTTTCAGTGATGTTCTCAAGGACACTGGCTGTCCTGAACTTTAAACTCATAGATGTATGTGTGTGTGTGGTCTCTACAGCCACAAAGACACATGCTGTTGTAATACTCTCTTGGTTATATTGTTAGATATTAATAAAATAGCAAACATTTCCTGTTCCCAACTAAACTATAGGTTGGGTCAGCCTAAACTTTTTTTTTTTTTTACTTTTTGGAGTTGTGTTTCTCCTTAGTTTTACCCCTGGCTGGGTTCAACTGAATAAAGAAATCAAACGCTGGAGTTGTTAAAGTAATTGCCAAGCTGGCACATCCCCAGTTCCTCTGCAAAGACACAGCGGACACTTCAGAATGTTAATGGCCAGTGTGATCCAGCGAGGGCAATGCAGCTTTGGCATATTCACAAGGTGCGTGTGTGAGCACATGCCCACATTAACGATTTGTCCGTAAGACACAGATTTTTTGTTCTTTCAGTGACCTTCTCTCTCTCCACTTCTGTCCTCTTCTCATTGGACTTCTTCCAAATTTAAAAGCTCTTAACGCTGAAGAGTCAAAGTGAATCCTATTAGTCTCAGGACATGAAGGAGGAAAACACTGCTACTGTTACAAACAGCTCCTAGTCATCCCATTGTGTTGGGTAGTGGTGTATTTTTATCCTGTGGCAGCCGAGTGCGATTTGGTGTCATTTTCTTTTCCAACAGCTGCAATGAAGTTTGACATCAGCAAATGCTTCAGCAATTTAAAATGTGTAAAAACAAGTTTTGGTGTCAGTTCCTCAAAATCAAAGATTTCAGAGAAGAATTCAAACTGCTTATTCAATGATGGGTTTGTCATAGCAGCGAAGAGAGAAGAGAAATCTACACACGCACTATCAAGAAATAGACAAGGGCCAGTTTTATCAAATTGACAGCTGTGATAATTTCCTCTTGCTCATTTTGTTACATTTCCCTGAAGAAAAAGCCAATGGCTTAAGTATGCAGGCTGAGGGCATCAAGGGAAGTTTGTACATAAAGTACGGTGTTAGAATAATAGATGGTTTTTCCTATGTGAGCAGCAGGTCGTCCTCCTGGTTGAATGGACTGTTGTCTGCGCGTGTGAGTCTCCATCAGCCTCTCTGACGTACGGCTGTGTGCACCTGAGAGAGAAAATTAACAACCTTAAACAATGAGGTGAACAAACACTTTGGAGGAGCTAGTCACACTTATTACTAATTATTCCTGCTATTTTAAAGCTGCCGTAATCAATATTTATATTCACAATGTACCAAATGATGACCTGTAATGTAAAAATGTGTCGCTCATAGTGACAAACCAACAGGGAATTAACACCCTATTTTGGGAGAGTTTGTTACCTTTTCAGCATCTTTCACCTCATTGCTTGGTTTTCCACACTGCAACTTCACTGTTTTAGTTCAGTCTCACTACTGTCATCAGCATTGTTTCTTGATACAACAGGAAGCTGTTTACACACAAAAAAACCTCTAAAAACCAACTGTACACTAACTGCTCAGCACCCAACAGCAGACAGACAAAGTTAGCGATTAGCGGGTGAACATAGTGGAACATTAAGCGGCTTATGAGCCAGACATTTTGCTCAGGAGTTGGTTGAGACCACCAGGAGAGCTAAAAAATGAATACTGGATTTCATTTCAGGCGCCCTGAAAAATGACTCCAAGTGAATGCTAATTCTGTACCTGCTTTAAAGAATGAACTATTTATTAATACGTTTACTGTATTGACTTAAAAGGTGATGCAACAGTGTTGTTACTTATTTTTCCCACTGCCCCTGAGTGGCCAAAGAAAACAGTATGTGTTTACTGTAAGCATTACCACCATTTGTCATGATTTGGAATTTAAAAATAAAAGAATTGCAATTTTTGAGTTGTCTGAGTGTCTGACTGACTTTTGACCTTCCCATGTGTACTGGCGAAAATGAAGACAATATACACGCAACTATCAACTAAAACTATCATTATGTCATTGTGAGGCAGACACGCATAATGCCAAACTAAAATATAGTATAGTAATAGTAATTCAGTTTCCAAAAATACAAAATCTAGAATTTAATTGGATGCAGTTGCAGGTGGTCGTGATGGTGGTTCCTGCTAATTATACCATCTAAAAATAACTTGTCACACACCCAGCAAGGAAGTGCAGAAACATACTTCCCTGCTGTGTGCTTCGTGTGCAAATCCAGATTTCCTGCCAATGAGACACTACAGTGAGGAGTGCTGCTGCCAATTATTGAAAATACACTAGCAATCTCTTCGTCTGAGGAGGACGATCACGTCTTAAAAAGGCGATTACACAGACCAGCAGCAACCAACCAAGCAATTTCACCATTACTAAATTTATAAATGAGAAAAAAAAATCTAATTTCCCCCCAGGCATTTAGGGAAAGGCATTTCAAATTTGTAAAGTAAGCGTCATGCTGAATCTGGTACTACTTTTTTCTTTAAGATGCAAAATAATGGATCCCCTACTGGCACTGGTGATTGGGCCAGAAGTTTTTAGAATATACGATTAAAACAGGTAGAGTACAAAGTTAAAATAGCTAGGTTTAGTTGTGTATTAGTTGGGTAAGGGTTTTGGTGGTTAAAATAATAGTCATTTTGACATGAATAGAAAGGTCTGTTTCTCTCAACTGGATTTGATTTAATAATATTGTTCACAGATTTTGTCATCACTCAAAACGGACTCCTCGCAGCTAGTCACCATGTGATATTAGTCATGGGCAGTGCATGATTTATTATATGGCATGTTTACTGTTAGCTTCTTTTACTTTCGCTCATAAGTGTCCTGTTTCTTATTCATGTTGGGTAAAAATTACACTTCAGCCAGGAGGCAGATAGTTTAGCATAAAGACTGAAAGCATGAGAGAACAGCTAATCTGGCTCCAAAGGTACGTAGAGTATTTGGCCTTAATGGGCGATGTTGTGAATTAATAAACAGTATGGTTTCATGACATAAATGGATTTGAAGGATTGCTACATACATGTGATTAATGACTTTAATTTGACAATGATTTTATTCACTGATTTAGCCAAAACCAGTAATTCCTCTGTCAATATCACAATATAAATGTATAAATTGCACCCATCCCTCAACATGACATCTAATAATCAGACTTTTTCATCCTCTTTCCATAATTGGTTCAATGATTTTGACCCAGAAACTACTTTGACTCTCTGGGCTACCGAACACACACAAACACAGAAGAGCTGGCGACTAGCAACCCACTTTAATCCCTGTGAAATAAGATTTTCTTGATGAATATCATTTGGATACAGGAACACAAATATGTTCCAACATTTCAGGTGTGATGACAGAAAAAAACAAAAAAAACAAACAAACAAAAAAAGGTATATGTGCGACATTTACAAAACTAATTCACAAAACACAAGGCCTGCGGTATGTACAAGGTGACAGTGTTAGGAAACTCATCAGTAGTTTAATATTTATGTAGCACCTCCGTGGCACTAAATGGCCATATCCGGGAAAAGAAAGAAGCATTTACCAGAACAAACTGAGTAATATGCCTATGAAAAACTGTCAAAATTAAAAAGGTATTAATATTTTGGAGCGGCCAAGCTTGTGAATTCAGAAAATGAACATAGAAAGAATACAGTAATAGAAAAAACAGACAACATTATTAATATACAATATTGATTTATACATACAATTCAAACCAAGAATGGTACAAAATCTTTCCAGATTTTAGGGTTCCTACATATTCTCCTTTTTCCAAATATCATTTCATCACATTTTCCTGACTTTCATCCTTTAAAACCGACTTCATAAGTTTTGGTCAGTTCATGTGCTAATTGGAGAAATGTGATGTTAAACAAAGATATTATTCAGTAAAATGGACAAACTGGAGCGAGTATGACAATATAAGCAACGGATATATATTCAAGTGCCAATTATGACTGAGGAATATTTTGAGGCAGTTTTCTGGGCTGTACTTCCTTAACTGTGTGAAGACTCGAAGGTTAAAACCTTTTTTTTCTCCATGTAGGAACCCTGAGAACGTTTTGAGTGTGAAAAGTGGAGCCACCAAATGAGCTTTTTGAATGACGTCAATACATAAAATGTCTCATCTGTTAACTACTGTGACACATCTTCACAAAAATTCAATGCATCCTGCAGACAAATCTACTAGTGTTCGCATTCAACAGGTTTCTTCTATTACAAATAATTCTTTCAATATTTGACTAAGACATTTAAATACTGAGTTCCCCCTACAATACATTTTTTTTTACCCCCATCCCCCTGTTTACCTCTTGCAATCTGACAATAAAACCTTACTGAAAATATCCTGTAGATGGACAATGTGACACTTTAGTTCCACCAGTTCCAAAGCCATGAATGGCTGGATTGAAAAATAGATATTTTGTTGCTGGTTATTTGATTTAAAAAAAAGAAAAAGTGAAGTCCACTGGGGCCTCAATGCTGAGAGGCATAGTCATAGTAATTAGCTTCCTGTACAAAGAAAATGGGAAATGGGAGTGTGCTGTTATTGAATTAATGCAACGAGGTATGGAGTTGATACCACCCAGAGACGTATTCATATTAAGATGGAGGAAAAAAGCATAGCAGCTGACCAAAAAAAACAAAAAAAAGCAAAAGCCTAAAAAACAAACAAAACAAAAATACCAAAACAAAAACAAAATAATGTTAAAAAAAACACACACAAAAAACCTTGTCCTCTTTAGCTGCTGCTTCAGAGCACGCAAAAGCACCACTGCAAATACATTATCTCAAAAATAGAAAAGTAACATGCATTAAAAGAGTGCTTGTGTGTCCGTCTCTTTTCCTGCCATGACCCTGAGCTCTCAGAGCCGGTGGAGGAAATGTTTTTGTCCATTAATACAGCACTCAGTAGAATCCACCTCCATTAGCTTACTTCCTATGGGCTCAGCCTCCACTGGCCGAGTAATATTATAGTGGAGTTGGTTTTTAATACAGGGATCCGGGGCCATCGTCCTGAGGGAAATGTGAATGGAGGAGGGTCTCCATGTAGGAAACGTAGCCGCTGCTCGGCATGTAGCTGTCGGACATGTGCTGAGGTGAGGGCAGGGAAGGGGCGGACAGGAGAGGGTCAGAGTTCAACTTCGACTGGAAAGGGGTTGACTGTGGAGTCAGCGTGGGGTCTGAGGCCAGGGTGGACTCCGTTAGAGCATCGGTGAGGGCGACGCTCGTGTCCATTGGGGTCTCAGCGTCCATCTGAATACCATTGGTTGCGGCAGGGGCATCCTGTGGGGTCAGAGTGGGCTGGGACAGAGCTTGTGAGGTCGGCGGTGTACTAATACTGTGATGTTCTGCTGCTGGTGATGCTACCGGGGCTGTAGTTAGGGGGCAGGCAGGCTTGTTGGTTGTCTCCATGGAGGTTTCAGCGGGCGGGGCTGAACCTGAGGGCAGACAGCGGCGTTTGGCTGCTTGGGCTTCATCTGCTGGGGAAACCTCCTCCTGTGTTACAGGTATGGCCTGAAAACAGACAGGTACAAACTCAAACTGAGGACACACAGGGAGTATCAGGAGTTTCTGGCTGTGTGCGAAATCGCTCCCTATCTCACTACAACATGCACTACATCTACAGTCGGCCATTCAGGCTCCAAAGTCAGTGTGAAAATGTATCCACAACATACAACTCAATGCTTTATAGACTCTACAGCAATGTTTCCATGGGTGAAATGCTTCTTTAAGTAATTCAAACATGCAACCTTGGGCTCTTTTACGCTACTGACATTTACAGACTAAAGAATGAATCAATTGATTAAAATTTGATAATGACACTAGCGGTAACTGTATTTTATTGTTGTCTTTGAAACAAGAATCTTATTAGGTCATTAAATGTTAATATTTGCTTCTTGTGACAACAAAAGGGTAGCCCTTGCCTAAATCAAAGGCACAAATTTTCATTAACAGCTCACCAAGGAAAAAACTGATATTTATTAAAACTTACAACCCACACATTTTGGCCCACACACCGGCCTTTATACTCTGGAGGCTGCAAAGCGTTGGTTGTTTGCTTGAACAAATGGTTGTTTTATCTGCAACTGGTGTCGTTTTATTGAACAATAGAGGCTATTGCTGGGGTGCCTTTTCTATTAATTTAACTCTGCATCCAATTCTTAAATCTACTGTGTCAACCAATCTAATGTCTGCCAAACTGAAGTGTCTTCCTCTCATGTATTATTACAACAAGGCTAAGTAAATCTATGTATGATGTTATGAGCATAGGAGAAAGCAGAATTTCAGCAATGTACTCACCAGTCTGGCTCGGACCCTCTTGGGCAGCTCCTGATCCTGCTGATGGATCTCTGAAGGTTTTAGCATTAGCTGACTCTGGTCCTGAAACTCAACCTGAGCAGATACAATGAAATAAACAACAAACATTTCCAACTGCTCTGTAAGAATAAAATATCCAAACACACTCAACTCAGCAGGAAAATACATTGTTATCATGGTAAAAGAGGACTCATCCGTGGGTAGTGAATAAAAGAGTAGCAGGGCGGCTTAGTGAGCAAAACTACAAACTTGTACCCAGAAAGTCACAGATGGGATCTCAGCCATTATAAATGGTTCCACCAACAACCATGTGCTCTGTCGCAAATGTCCTTGACCACGGCACTGAACCCCAAAGCTGCTCACTGACTGGATGGCAGCATCAGCTATGTGTTTTAATCGTAAAAAGAAAAGGACATGGTCAGGGTTGCGGCCCTGACACGGTGACCAGCTGGAGGCTTGTTTTTAATTCATTGTAACAGAGCTCCTTGTCTCCAACACGGCTCTCACTAGTGTAGCCAGTGGGCTACACAGGGACATGAATTTTACCTATCAGATACTCGAAATGAAACTCAACAAAACTGTCTTTGTTAGTCTTTTCACACTCTTTCCAACAATCACCAATGTCACAAAATTGTAGTAGAGTAGAAAATAGCTGTGAAACAGGCCGCTATCGTTGCCATGTAATGTTTGCTTATCCTGGGGAACAAATGCGCCCGTCAAAGTATGTCCAGTAAAAGTACTCCTCTTTGCTCACAAAACCAGCGTCATGACAAAATATACGATTAACCAACCTCCCTTAACCTCATCTGCTAATACATTCCTGTGTCTACGTATGGAAGTGACTTTCAAGATGGCCTCCCCAGACACCAGTCCCAGGGAATCATCTTCTTCATTTCTGCATGTTCCACTTTGTAAGCACTCCGCATATTTGCCCCACAAATTCCCCCAGCATGCAGCAGTGATGCTAAATCTCTCTACTTATGTTTTAATGCCACACTGTATCAAAATGCTCCACCATAATCTACAAGGGCAGCCAAGCTTTTCGCACGTTGATAAATACCAGATCAGGGGGACCAAACCAGAGGGTGGCAAAGCAATTATCCAGAGCTCCCTGCTACCAAAAGTTCACAGGTTCAATCACTTCCAAGTCACTCCGTAGCAGAGCATCAGTAGATGTATGTAGAGGATGCCGTTACAATTTTTTCACCTCGGAGACTGTATTTAGAAAAGTTTTTTTACAGTTTGAGTTTACTTGAAAGGATTCATACATTTACACAGACTGCTGCTAGGAATTAGTGCAGTTATTCAGGAATGTGATTGTTTTCTATTCCTTTTCTATTCCATTTGGCTATGAATTGTGTGATTCACAAACCTAAACTGTGGATACATTTCTGTAGGAAAAAGGAATGAAGTCAGAGAGGTAAAGCAGTGACTTTCCAGCCTCAAACCTGATTCTCTAACATCTAGTTGACTTTGGAATTTTGATCATAGATGTTTTGGTTTGACTGTAAAATGATATCTAATAGTTGTGTTTTTCCTCACCTGGTAGCACTTGTGGCTGTGCTGTCTCACAAAGGAAGCATTGAGGACCTGACCCTCAGGCGTACTGACCACAACCAACTCCCCCACCTCGGGAGGACCGGAACGCAGGCAGTCATGACTCTGACGGCGGAAGAAAGAAAGAAAGAAAAATGATGTAGAGGAAGAAGGTGGGAATGAATAGAGAAAGTGGAGGAGATGACATTTATGAGACCTGCATGTGTCATTATACAAAACACTATCTTAAGTAATATAATATGACCTGAGAATCTGTATACAACTTTGAGTAAAAAAAACATTGTTGGAAGGATTTTCATACAGGTCCCTGATGTTCAATGAAATCTGACTCAACACTTACACAATGTAAACTGTTTAAGTGTTTTAGTAGGCAGAAAAGAAGAAGTTCCCTCATTGTTTAATAAGTTTTACTTTCTATAACATTACTTGATATAGCTCTAGCTGTTTTATTTTAATTCAACCTCTTCTTCATTGCAAACACATGGCGGTGAGTCATTAAAGGTTATTTGAAGTTACATTTAGTCATTATATTTTCATTTGGAAAGATGCTCCAGCAACAAAGCATATGGCAGTTGCTAGGATATTTCCTGCTGGCTTTAAAAAAGAAAATGTAATTTGTTAAAGTTCTCTCTATAAATTGTACGCAGGTAGGTGTAAGCTGTAAAAAAAACACTCACCACTATGTTTTCTGGGTAAACATTGTCACAATATGAGCCATCGTCAAAATTGACCTCGTAGAACGTCTGCGTTGCCATGCCAATGATGGTACAGTGATAGTACCAGCCGTCACTGTTGCGACCAATCACCTTCTGGCCTAGGTTCGGACTCTGTGGGCCTTTGGGTGCTGTCCGAGGCTGGAGGGAGAAAACCCCAGGCAGAGAAGGTTAAGAAAGGATCAAACCTCACTACAATTCATGTGTGTTCATGGAGCCCATGTGACACACACACACACACACACACACACACACACCTTTTGAGTATAACTAATAAGGTTCACTATTCATTCAGGTTCTCAGTCTCGATGAGATCAAAATTACTAAAACCTAAGTAAGAAGAGATACTCTTTCTGTGGTTCCTGAGTAGTAATTGTGTTCTCAAGGGTTTTCGCAGCTAGATGACTGTTAGCTGTCTTCTCTCAAAAAGTTCAAGAATGGTGTATTAAGTCAAAAGATTCAAATATTGACTGAAAAATCAATTTTAAGTACGAAATTATACTTTAACTGAACCTCCAGTCACATCTGAAATACTGAATGATAAACCATTTGTGTTTCTGTAAAAACTAAAACCAATTCAACGGTGCATCTTGATTTGCACTCACCTTCAGAATGACACCTTTATGCTTGTGACAGGTGACGGACACCACATAGGGCCAGTCGGCTGGTGTCATGACTACTCCGGCAATTTGGGCACAGGTGACGTGGAAGGAGGTGGCACAGTTCTTGTGTGAGCACTGGATGCAGGCGCCGCGGTTCTGACTGGCATTCTTGCGATGGCAAAACACACACTTCTGCAATGAGAAGAGAAAATAAAGAATTGTCAGTTTGAATTCCCTTGAGCTTATTTTTCTTTATTACATTCTCTTTCGTGGACATCCTAAGATCACAGGGATGTTATTATGGTCCTATGACACAGACTGTAAACATAAAAGTTTAGTTTATTCCAAAGGGATGATACAGGCAGGTACCGGCTTGGGCAAACACTGGTGTTCACAATTACATCCTCTTCCAAAGCACATATCTCAGTCTAGTGTTTTCAGTGAACTTGCTGTTGCCACAGTAGAGGTTTTATTCCTGTCATGAAAGCCCAAACACGATCACAAGTCCTACTGAGGCTATTTATTGATGTTTATATTCAGAAGAATCATGAGAAGTTTTGAAAAGAGATGTCTTAAAATGAGGATGAACAGAATGAGCATCAAATTAGGAATCGCTTTATTATTTTTAGCGTGTGACCTCCTAAAACCCCACCCTGCTACTCTAATAAGCCTTTTCCACCAAGGCGGTTTGAGGGCAGGTTTGGTGACAGTGCCTAATCTTGAACCAGTTCTTTGCGTTTGACAGCCAAAGAACTAGCTCTTGGCCAGGAAAACTGCTTCCAGAGCAGCATCAAAACTTTGCTGGACTAAAATCAAGCATGTGACTGCCATTTCTTTTTTAAACTCCAAAAAAACAGAACTTGAGTATGGATTGGAAATCAAAGCAGCAGTGCTCAGTGGAGGGACTTTATTTCTCAACAAAATTCATTCACTCTTCTAACTGCAGCACTTAAAGAGCATCTTATGAAACAGAGATGACGGAGGAATCCAGAGTGTAAGCATTTTCTCCTCTCCCACATCTTCTAATCTACGTGACAGGTTTCTACTCATTAAAACAAAATGGATCTTTCCGGTTTTGCACATAACATACATGCAGAGTCGTCGGTGCCTGAGCCGTCACTATGACATTCAAAACATTTTTTTTTTTCATCTCTCTTTTTTTTTACTGCACCCTTTTTGGTGTCTTGCATCACTTGTTCAACGTCTACCCTTTCACATTCATACAAGGAATTTGTTGTCCTCCCTTGGAGCACTTGTCAAATCCCTTCATTCCATCCCCACATCCTGAGTGTGAAATTACCACTGGCAAAACCAGCCAACCAAATCTTTGCCTTTGGTCGGGAAGCTAGTCTACTTTCCACAGACACTTTGACATGCACCACCCTGCAAATGCAACCCAACAACCTTCATTTTCAATTCACCTCGAATCCTCAACCCTCCATGTCTACCCCCTTTACAATTTCTTCCCCCATCCCTCATTTGTCCTTCAATTCAATTAAAACAGAGAGAACAAGGGAAAAGTGGATGAAAAGCTGGGAGGGAACAAGGAGAGATAATAACAGCGTGTGAGGAAATCTGGCCTGCCAAATTGAGTTATCTTCTCAATACACCAGGGTAAGTGTGTTTCAGAAACATTATCTCCCTTCAAAATCCTAATAAAAACATTCATCTATTAAGAGATCAACTGCCAAGAAATAAATCAGGTAAGAGAAAAGTAGAATGATATATGTTTAACTCATGACAACATGATTCAATCTAACAGACAGAATCCACCTATTACCCCAACAGCTTTGACAGCTGTCTCATCTTATGTGACTTGTATCTTTCTGTGTACTTGTTTTATTGTGATTATCTATCATCACACACACACACACACACTATGTCTTTCCAATCCCTCATGCTTTCTCTCTTATCCTTCCTTCTCCATACTCCTCCTTTTGACAAATCACACTGCGAGCAGCTGTAGCGCAGCTCATGGGCGATCAATAAAAAATAAAAATCCTTTATTAAAGTGCCAATACTTCATTTTTGTCCCGGTGCAGGAAACATGTACAACAGCTCTCAACAGAGCTGTGCTGAGTGATATTTCACCGGCTGCTGTGGTTTATGCTTTTTTCTATGCTGGGTCTACTTTTACCACTGCTCAAATCAAAGGCAGGCAGAGACATGTGGGGTTAGGGTTAATGTTTCTTGCTACATGAAAAAATGTAGCAAAAAAGCATTAGTTTTATGTCCATCTGTTTGTTTAGATCTTATTCCATATTCCAACTAAATTATTTTCACTTTTAATGCATTTTAAGCATCTGTAGAATTAAAACAATTCAGGCTTTGACTCTGGCCTCTTGTTATATATTAAATATATATTACACTAAACCTACCCACTGAAGTAAAATGCCAACTCCCAAATGAGAACAGTAGTTAATAACTGACAAATCGTGGTACGGTACATGGTACGTGGTACGTAGTATGGTAAAATACTTATAAAGATTGTATGATGATTTATTTAAGCAGCTTGTTTTTCCAAGCTTGAGGCTGTTTTCTCACAAGAAAAGAAATCACAGTACCTCTAGGTGCAATATGCAACACTACCTTTGGGAAAGGTACATCTTTTGAGGATCTGCGCAGTGTTACTGTGTCTGAGAAATTCTGAAACAACTAAGACAAAAGGTTGTGCGAAGTCTCTTCTTCCAGGAAAACCAAATGTTCAAAGACGCAGATTGCTGAACACGGTGCAATATTAACTGGTTTCAAGTGTGCGTGTTCACATTTGATCAGCCTAGTCATCCGAATCATTAGACTACAGAGCTTCTTCTCATGGCCTTTTAAGAAGAGATGAGGAAACCTGCGTTGACAGCCCTTGGATGCAAATGTCACCCAGCTTCTCTTTGATAGATTATTCAGAGAGGAGGGGAGGGAGAGAGGTGACATTATTTGTAGATTTGTGATAATGCACCTGCAAGCACTGTCGCTGGCTGTGAAGTGGGATCAGGTGAATGGAGGGGGAACAGAGCCTGGGAAGGGGGATGGAGAGAAAGAAGGGAAGATGGAAGGAGTGAGAGCACGATTGTGTTCAAAGACGGCAGCAATGGGGAAAATTGCCCTCCCATGAGATCGATTCAGTCAATTTGGCGCAGTGAGAAATGACAGTGATTATTTCAGGCCATTCCGCTCACGACATATGTTTACCCCATTCCTCTGCAGCTGCAAAAAAACATCTAATCCTCCCCAGGGAAGGAGAGGGAAAAGAGAGTGACTATACATAAAGCAGTCAGCAGAAAACACGAAGTCGCTAAATTAGGAAAAGCAGCAGGAGGAGAAATTGAGATCAGGGATAATGAGAGAATTCAAAACTATGTGAGAACACGTACAAAAAAATTAAATCGCTGCAGGAGTAAGTTAGTAACTTGGTGGTCTGCTTTGGGTTAAATATTGACCTGTCTGACACACTGTACTGATTACTTACCAAGATTCTTGCGCGGGATTTCGGAACGGCACTGAACGTCCACCGGTCCCTCTCAATGGCCTTTTGACGAAGCGAGCTTCAGCGACAGCGATGGCACAGATAACATGGACCACCTGGTTAAGAGAGAGAGAAGGAGAGAGGAGAGGGAGAGAAGAAACGAGATGAGAGAGAGAGGGAGAGGAGGAGAGAGAGAGCGATGAGAAGAGAGAGAGACGAAGAGAGAAGCGAGGAGAGAGAGAGAGTGGAGAGAGAGAAGAGAGAGAGAGAGGTGAGACAGAGAAGATGCAACAAGGGTAGCACTAGTAGACATACAAGGCTCATAACTGAAAAGTCATAGTACTTTCTTTTAATTGTTTACTGGGGAATGGTGTGTTAATATTCCCCCAGAGGCTTGTTAGTTGTGATATTCCACACACACGTGAAAAAACTGCCACAGTAAAACCCAAGCGTATGCCACTAACCGATTGTCTGTGGTAGTCTTCAAAGCTCCTCCCCGCAAGTTACAGAGACAGCACTCCTGAAAAACATGAAGCAAATGAGGATTAATTTTAGGCAGCGAGGGGAACTCTTGTCCAATTCTAATACTTGTACTTCTGGAGAAGGTCGAACTGTTTCTAGACTTGTGTTGGAACCCTAAATTGGATTTAATTGCTACTCACCACCGTCCAGGCTCCTTCTGCACACCTGGAGCACATCCAGGATTCACCGACTGAGTCTGGCTTCACACCGTAACAACCTATAAGAGAGGAGAGGTTAATGGCATCACATATATTTCCTACAACATTTTGCATTTAATGTTCCCAAAGCACTTTCTAGATTGTTCAGTAATGATGGGCTCCATGGCAACTTGAGCCGAGCACTGAAATGTATTAAATATTTATTAAAATACTTCCTCATTTTTATAACCGCTATTTGTTGTGTCCTTTTGTTATCAATTTATATAGAACTTGCCCGATCTTCTCGTCACCATGTCCAATTTGAGCTTCTGAACCAAAAGGCTTGCATGTTTACATAAAACCTTCAACCTTGTGAATGTCCAATCCAAAACAATGAGGAGCAAAGGGATTGGAGCGCAGAGCTGCTGTTTTTGATAGGAGTTCTTTCTGCTTCATGTTCTCTTATCAATAGCAGCGCTGCACTCCCAGCTGAGCACAGCTCATCCCTGGATGACTAATGAACTGGCCTTTTTGAAGGTGCACTCCAGCTTTAGGGATAATAAGAACCCAGGAGGGTTGGTGTGAGTATGTGTGTGTTGGTGTCTTACTGACTGAGCACATGTGCACATGTCCATGCTGTAATTATCTGGTTGTATGTTTGTATGTGCTCTGGGACATAAAACAATCACACATGTTGGCGTATTGGTCTACAGATGTATTGGTCTTAGGATAAAGCTATTTTTTTTAACAAATGCCACTAAATGTGTACAGACATGTTTCCCTGTGACAACCAACCAACAAAAAAAATCTGTTGCTTTAGTCTAGATGACCAATATTAACATTTGGCAATGAGGAGTAGAGGCAAGGAAAAGCATCCCATGGCTCATATACAAAGTTAACAAGCTTTGTGTCCTTTCACGCTTTGCTTTGACAAAAGCCTTACGCCCTTAACAGTCGACTTTCTTTGTGAAAAGTGCAGAAAGCGGGGTAAATAAGAGCTGGGAAAGTTTATGGTGTGCTGCCTTTAGAGAGGCCTTTGCGTTGCTTGAGCGGCCACTTAGCTACTTTAACCCGAGTCAAGGAGAGTTAAACTAGGAAGTCTCACTAAGAGTGGCAACAGGGGAATTGAGCAGACAGGTTGTTGCACTGCTGTAGTTGTCTCATCTTGTGTGCTTCCTATTTTGCCAACACTATTCTCAGGGGTATGGAGAAAAAAGTTGTGAATAGAGAAGAGTAGTGAAATGCCCAGTAGAGTCTGTCTGTAAAGCTTGTCAGTCCATGTATGGGTTTGTAGCCGAGACCAAGATTCTGACTGTTTAAATCAAACGCTGCTGTGTGCCCACAGCTGCTAGACTCCCAGTTCAACAGAGTCAAACATAACTTTTCTACAACAATAAACATATTTTTTAAACCCCACAAAATAGTGTAAAGCAAAAAAGAGATTACATACCTAGAGCTATTTCACATCCATTAGGGTGTACTGCCTGACTATGTGGGGATCTTGTGATGTTAACTACATTGTAAAGTCCTACATTTGCATTTTGTTTGTTTGCAAATGCACTCACAGCCTTAATAGCTATTTTATTAAACATTATTGGTTGCAAAAATGTTAAAATGTAGATTCAGACCAACTTCTAACATCCTTTAAAACCTGAGGCTGCTCCAAGTGACTATGCACACCAGTCCAGGAGCTGCTTCAATATGAAAGCTGTAATTAAATTTTCTTTGTTGTTAGGAAGCTTCCTGCAGCTGCAAGAGTCTTGACTTTTCATTAACAGCATACAAACACTGTTGCTCAGATTTATTTTTACTGCTCATCTTTTAAAAAAAAGAGATATGTGGGGAAAAGCGGACAATTTTAACTGGTGCAGCTATCCTCAGGTGCCTTTTCTCTACTGCAAATTGGACGCACTTTGTTTGGTCCCAAAGTTCTCAAATACAAATTCAATTTGTATTTTTTTTGGGGGGTGGGGTGTGTGTGTTACACTTACTGGCATGAACCTGCATGTGGCAAGATGAACAGCGGAGGAGAAGACTGGTTCCATCCTCTCCAATGTGATAGTTGGTGGGTGGTGGCTCAGTGTTGCATGCACCGACGCTGAAGCACATCTCTGGGACCAGTGGGCGAGTCACACTGCCATGGCGGGGAAGGGAGGCTCGATGGGTCTCATTTGAAATTAAGGCGTCTTTGTGTGGCTGGGGAGGACCGAGGAAAGATAGCAGTAGTAATACAGTTAGTGGTTATACATGTTGATTATTAGTCAGCCTTTACACAGTCAGGATTTACTGAAAGAGGATAGTTCTGAAAGTGAACAATACAAAAAATAGTTGTTAATCCTAAACTACTGCTACTGAACTACTAACTGATGAACATTGTTAACACTACCACTAATCTGCTGAACTGCTACTACTATCTCTTAATACATATGTGCTTCTGCTGCATTGTGTGGCTGTACCTTTGTGTAGGGACAGAAGAGTGAACAGATAGCACAGTGTGGTTGGAGTGCTGCCACTGCAGCATTGAAGGCCTTCTCTGCCAGGAAGTTGGGCGACTGATTCTGCCACAGGTGCTCCTGTTTCTTCATGTCGCTGTCCAGCGGTATAGGGGAGGACAGCTCTGTAGGTAAAACATTTAATCCATTAAAGACATGCGGCTCCAAAAGAAGACATCCACAGTCTGCAAAGTCCTGCATACTGAGAGAGAGATAATGGAAGATCATTATTGGTAATAGTTTTATCTGAAATGCATGTCAAGCATTTTTGGAAAAGCAAAAGGCTCTTTTTAATAAGGGAGCCCTTGCCAAGAGACAAGACTATCCCGTTCTGTTCCAGACAATAACAACACCACTCCTGATATAATTGGCTGATGAGCACAAATAGCACAAGCATCAACAACTTGCTGTTGCGGGTCTGGAATCAATTTTGCAGTGAAGCCCCTGAAGCTACTGATCCAGACTGTTTGTTAAACCTGGACAGAAGGCAGGAAGAACTCTTCACACGCTTGTCATTTAACTCTCTCTTTTCTACCTCCACCAGCCTTCTCTTTCTCCTTGTCCCCCATCCACCCTTCTGAAGGACAGGCCCTGAGTCGGGTCCCCTGCTGCCAACTTAAAGTGACTTTGAAAGCAGGTAATTGGAAGTCATGATCCCCGAATCAATAAGTGTCAGTCAGAAAATGAAAAGAAAAAGACAGAAGGGAGGGGAGTGAAAAGAGGCCTTGCAGTCTTGATTTCATTATCCGCACAGGGAGCTTTAGTCCTGTTTGTTTTTCTTTCTCCAGATCGATAATCAAAACAAAAATTGGGTCTTCTTCATTTTAAGTATCATGATGGAGAGGAGGAGTGGGATGAATAATGTGGGAGGGAAAGAAAGGATGGTGACAGATGAATAATCAGGGTTCAGCTGACATGGCTTTCTTACAAATCCTGCTTTTGATCAATTATATTCGATTAATCTCAATCTTTAAATGTAACTGTCACATTTTTATATATTGCATATAATTCACTTGTTTTTAACATTTAACAACTTAACTCAGTGAGAAACTAAACAGCATTTACACTACATGATGGTGTACTTCTCAAATGACATTCAGATTTATCAAAATCTTACAGAAGGAAACGTTTCCATACAAATGGCAGTTTAAAATAAGAAAATATTTACAATAACACTTGAGGTTAAATAAATCTATAATGACAGATACACACCTTTGTCGCTACTCGGGTCTTGCTTTAAGATGGACCGAGGGGAGCGCATGGGTGGCTTGCTGAGGGGGTGACGGCGACTCTTTTTTACCTCTGTTGGCATCTTCATCTTGGAGTAGCATGCCTGATAAAACACAAGATTGTTCATACATGTTTTGTTTTGAGTGTTTTTACCCTTGCAAAATATTGCAGCAATGTAGTGTAGGAAAGTCTACTAGGAGTATCCCAGAGTTAATAAGTCTATCACATATAGGCTAATTTGTTATGCAATATCACATTAATCATCAATGATTGTGTTTACATCCGCACTAGTATTCTGATTTCGATTGAGTTTTGGAGAATCCTGGTCACCTAATTCTGATTTTGAGAAACCTGAATATTTTATTTTTTAATATTGTACTCCGATAGACTACTACTACTGTAGCATGTAAAAACCTTATCCCGGTTTCTGAATATTATCTACTGGTACAGCTGGTGAGACATCAAAACCCAGACAATCAGAAACCTGCATACTGTTAGAATCATGTAGCCTATACAGGGATATGAAATATGAATAAGCAGGTTTCTCATGTTCCATGTAAAAGCCATATCCCAAATATGGTCAAAACAGGGTAAGACTCAGAACCGCGTACTAGTACGCATGTAGACACTCAATGAAACACACCTAAATTCAGAGCTGAAAAGTCTAACCTGGGTGGTAGTCGCATCCAGCTTGCTGTCTGCTGGGATGTCACTCGGTCTTGAGGTAAGAGGGTTTTCCACCTCTGTATCACTGACTGTGGCGTTCTTTGATTTCTTGATGCTGGATGTAGCAAACTGCTTAAATGCTTCCTCAAACCCAGTCATGGTGTCGTGGGCAATTGACATCTTCTTCGGCTTTTTGTGCTTCTTTTTGTCAGTGTCCTCTGTCAGGATCTGTGGTTTGGCCTCGGGTTCTTCTGCTGGCAAAGACAAATGGGAAAAATAAACTTTAGAAGAGTAGCGATGGCTCATCAAAAACTTAAAGCAACTGCGTTATTCTTAGTCTTATCCTAATCTCTCTTCATGCAAATGTTCTTACTGTGGTATCTACGGTGCATGTTAATCACCAAAATCAGCAACAAACAGGAAATCTGTGTTTTTTTACATATAGCTCAGTAAGTTTCCACTAAGCGGTGTCACAAGTTTGGGAGGACACGATCACTCTCCTGTCTCAGCACTTCATAGGTTATGCAAGCAGTTTTCATGCCGTATTAAGTTCATCTGATACATTTACACAGACACACTCAGAATGAAGTTACACTCCGCTATCATTTCAATACCATGTATGGATACATCTTTTTGCTGCTTAGGAGCAGATGCCCATTACATACAATGATTTCCATTACAGCACATAAAAATCAATCTTACTGCTCATATCGTTCTCACCCTTTACAGCTGGAGTCTCTGCTGCTTTAGCAGCGGCCTCAGCAGCCTCCTGCTCCTCGCGCTCCATGGCCTCCAGGGTCATCATGGCCTCTCTGGCTAGCCGCTCCTCTCTCTCATGCCTCCGCTGAGCCTCGCGCTCTTCTACCTGACGCTGGTACTCAGCAGCATTCAGTTCAATGCCTTCCTCCGCCAGCACCTTCACCTCCTCCAGCTTTAGACGACGGACCTGCTTCATCTTTTGCATGGCCCTGGGGCAGAGCGCAAAGACCGGTAAATAATTAAGTTCAAATGTTTATAAAAACATATCCATTTGAGAGCAGAAGAAGCTAATATATAGCAAAAAACACTTTTCAAATGCATTCAAAATTTTAATGTGTATTTTAATGTACATTACTATGTGCAAAACACATGTAACCTATGTATCAAAACCTCAGAATTTAGATAAGTAACTTGGCCTCTCACCTTCGCAGGAGGTTTTCTCGTTGGGTTACACGATGCTGCCTCCACTGATCTAGTTCGGGGCTGTTGAGCTCAGTGGCCTTAAGGTGGTCCAACACCACACTGTCTTTGCCCTGCTTCCACAGCTCATAGCGATCCGGCTGCAGGCAGCGCACAAACACATCCATGGAGATCTTCACCATGTCCTTACGACAGGTACACTAAAGAGGAACAAGCAGAGAAGGGAGAAATGACTTTATGTCGAGAGTATAGAACAGCTGCAGGTATAATCCTCCACAGTGGTAGAACGCTGCTGTTTGTCTACATATGGAGCAGGTACTGCAAATGCCATTTTATTACACTTCACTGATTTTTGACTGAAAACTCTGCAGTGAGTGATCAAAAGAGGTGGTTACAATCTGTGGCAAACTGATGAAGAAGCCTAAAGAACAGCATGGATGGATGGTAAAGAACAGCAGAGAGAGAAGGAGCAGAAACCACACTTTATAGAGAAATGGTTCTTTAACTTAAATAATATGCATTCATATAAAGAATTTGTAATGTTATATAATCAATATAATTAGATTCATGTGTATGACAAGTGTGTTGCGCACTCGCCAAGAATGTGACTTTATCTCTGCACTGAAGAGGTTTTACTGCCATGAAAGAAGCAAACATTATTAATATGCTCCAGTTCTACATTTGATATCATGTGCACAAAAATGTATTATATACCTGACATAACCCCAATTAGATCTGCAATATGGATTAACAAGAATGCATTGAGGATACCAGTGTATAGGATCTACAACTGTAATGTTACTAATGAGGTTTTTTTTTAATGATATTGCACATATTGCAGCAGGAGTGAAAGGAGCTGTGTGTGTATGAATGACTAAATAGAGTCATGTTTGTTAGCTAACCTGAGCTCGCAGCAATTGGTCGCTTTTAAAGCAAAAAGCTCATGAGGGCGACTTGGGTAGAAGGACAGTAACTGGGGCTGAAAGGATTTGAGTTATACATCATTCTAATCTCCATCTCTGTAGCGGGGTTTCAGTCCAAATGTATGGAATTGTAATGTGCGAATTTGTAATGTGAGTAAATGCTTGTTTCCATTCACTACTGCTATGTGTTTATCAGGAGTTGGTCCATCAAGATAAGCAGGCACCAAATCTTCAGTCAGAAAAACATTATTTTTTAACCTCAAACTTTTTTTTTTATAAATTGTTGTTATTCCGAATTTTCCCATTTGCAATACTTCAAATTTGTAATAATAATTGTAAAAACATAACATACATCAAAACAGGAAATGAGTGTAGAGTGGAGCTGGCCAATAATCGGCGTTCCCATGAGGTTGTAAATTTGTATGATGCATATTTATATTTATGGTAGCAAGTACAATATGGCAGGTAATAAGAGTTTGCTAAATGCGGTAATGTGCAGATAGTTCACAGGTAAATGACTGTGATAGCTGCATCCTATAACCACACCCACCTCAATATGACTCCATAAACCTTCATAATTACATTACAAGTCAATAAATCATTCTGCTGACTACAGAAAGGAGGAGCGACAGAGCTGTTAATTGAAACCACAATGTTGAATGTGGGGGGGAAAATGGCAGGTACAGCAGAAAGAAGTTCTGGAATGAAGGAAACAAAGGGAAGAAGAGGGAACAAACACAGATGGGGGATGAAAGAGATGAAAATATTTTCTTTTGTGCCTTGCTAGCTGTATTACATTCTGGCCCCATTATTTCCTGAGCTGTACTGAGAACCTTATGTTCAATTACTGGAAACACAGCAGTTCGCCCTCCCCAGCAAAACAATATCCAGCCTACATATCATCTAGACACCACTTGACAGACGGAAACATTCAAATATGGTGGGGGTTGTTGGAGTGGAAAGTGGGAGGGCAGAGGGGGGCAAGTGAGCATGGGTACAGCAGATTGTTACCATCATGAAACCTTAAATAAAAACAGCATCATACCAGGAAACTACAAACGCAAAAGAACACAAGATAAATATTGCTCCTATACTGATCGTACCTGGCAGAATGTCCTATTTTCATTTGCAGAAAAGGATATAAAGGCTTGTTTTATTTTTATGAAACTATTAAGAGGTTATGGAGATTGTTGCCATCCTCAAGGGCCAGGACAAGTTACACTTTATTATCATATAAAAACTTAATTAGAGGAGGGAAACAGATTTGGAGATGCACAAGATCTGTGAAAACAAAAACTAACCCTGAGGCAGGCAGTCAATGAGCCCTGAAGTATACTTGGGCTCCTAATGAAGCTAAATTGTTGGAGCCACAGAAAACCTAGAGCCAGGGGACTCTCTATGGATCAGTGGACTCAGTGGATGTGCCAAGCACTAATAACCAAACAGGGTTTTAGTCTGACCTGACCCACAGTAGCTCGAAAAATTTGATTATCCAAAATTATTTATGCTTTCTTTGATCCCATACTGATGAGGATAGAAATAACTACAAAGATGATCCTGAGAGTGAATGATTGGGGAGGTAATTAAACTGTGGAAAGATGCAAAATGTAGAATATACTGCACAGCAGGGCTGTATATCATCCAGCTGCTCATGCTGTTAAAACCTACTGTGAAATGAGACAAAACATTATCTAAACCTTTATTTGATTGCGTCTGTTAAACAAATGTTTAAGGTTTTACGCTGGAATGCATGCTGTATAAAACATTCTGACCACGTTTAAATAATGACTAAATTGCTCTTACTTTTCTCACCCTCCCACTTATTTCTTTCCCTTCTTTATCTCCTAATATATACCCCCTATCAAACAAAATAAGCCTAATGTGCTGAATAGAAGGTAGATATTAAAAAACAACAACAGTAAGCAGTGTAGAAATGTTAAGTAGTAAGTGTTGTATGACTTTCACAACTGTAGACTTGACCTGTCTACCTGTGTGCCTAACAAAAAGTATTTTTGCATCTGTTTTTATGCTGCACCAAGTTTTCTGTTGTAAATGTCAGCAACATTTCAACTGTGATAAAACTCTACAAACTAATCTCACTATGTGGCAAGAAAGAAAAAAACTCCTGGAATAGCAACTCTCACCAACATCAAAAAATCGTGAAATCTCTGGGCTTGTCACGTTATTGTGCTCATTTACCAAATGCAAGTAGGTTCATTAGGGGTTGTGAAATTGCACATTTAAATTACTAAAAGTCTGATCTGTGATTTACTGGGGTTCACTGTGACAGACACTGCCTGTGGGCTATCCCACGTCTTACAAGCACCTACAGTGTGAAATCACAGGTCTTTAATGTGATAACGAAAGTCAAGGTAAACTCCAAGATGACGACACCAAATGTGAGTAACTCAAGAATGCATTTTGTTTTTTGGTTATCATAGACAAAGGTTGCACATAAACAAAGTCTAATAAAAAATTCAGTATGTCCAATCACAGCATGTCTGGGCTCTCCAAAACAAGACACGTCTGCAAACAAATATAAAAAAGACAGAGTGAGACCTCTGCAATTCACTTTCAAGATGAAAAAGTGATGTGATTTAGTCTGGGAACTGGGAGGATGATTTCTGCTCCTCTTCCAGACAGAAAAATCACCGTGGAGGCCTCGGGGGAACAGCAGCAAAGTGTGACTGAGCACCAAACGAACGAGGAGAGGCTTTCATTGAGAATACTACCGACCCAGAACACAGAAACTTTTAACATTCAGCAACATAATGGTGCGGCAGACATAACTATTTTCAGAAATAATCTGCAAGATCCTTTTTGCCACGTCCAGTGCTTCAGTGGGCTCATTTCTAGGATGTTTTCTACCAAACTTGGTTGATTGAAAAACTGCATGTACAGTATTTAAATCAGTGTGACTAATGGTACAAACTAATTTAACCAGAGAGTTTTCCTAAGCACTGGATAATACTTGGGGACTCGGTTAAAAGTTTTGTTCAAATTAAACAAGAGACCTGGCATCTATTGGCAATGTGATGTTGGATGGTAATGTAATGATGCTTGGCACATGTTTTTTTTAAGCTGATCCCTACACTAGTCAATTAGAATTAACAGCCATGTTAGTTTGAAGTACTCTCAGTCAGACGTTGAAGGATTACAAAAAAATAAAATAAAAAGGCTAGTACCTAATGCATAGTCAGGAAGGCTGAGGACAAGGTTAATTAAGACTGCAATGTCTGAAATAATAAAAGTCTAATTACATGCACTTACAGCACACAAGGAGTGCTGACAGTGGGCCTGCTTTGACCGCAGGTGTGTGTTCGCTTAGTAAGTCAAGACAGATGGGTCAGCAGTTGGGGAGCTTGTATTTAAGAAGACTGAGACATTAAGCACGCCCAAGCTCACTCTCTCCTCCTCCCCACCGTGTGCTGTCAGCCCCCAAACAGTGACAAATTCGATCCCGAGCCCCATCGTTCACTGTCCTGTTTGTGGCTGACAGAACAGAGCTCGGCAGGGGGAGGGCGGGAGAGGGAGGGGAGACAGCCAAACAAGTTAACAGATGACTGCCTGAGCCGATGGGAGAAAGATGAGAGGGTTAAGTTAAAGACCAAGAGAGAGTGACAGACTTCACTGTTGCAAAGCGAGTGGGTGGCCACGTTTGCTAACATTAAATAACAACAATAAGACAACAACAATGAACCCCTGACTGTACTGAACTGGCCAAGGCTGCATTTTATTGTTTAGAACAGCAACTTTTTATTTGTAAAAAGAAGGTGTACTTCTTCTTTCAAAAGTTACATGCCTTAAGGGATGAGTTTATTATTGTACTGTATTTGCGAATCTTTTTGTTTACTATACTATGAAATACCAAAAAAAGGTAACCAATTCCAGTCAATGTACAGACATTGCCTACAGAGAAATGCAGTATTAAGATGTGTCCATACTAACCGTTTTTATTTTTATGAACTAAGAACCATGGCTGAACAAACTGCTGAGTTGCCAAATGTTGCTGTCTACAGCTAATGTGCACAAAGAAATGGGGGGGGGGGAGACACAGCGAGCCAAAATAAATTATTTTTTTCGCACGGCAGTCAAGAAAAAAGGCTTGGGGTTGAGAAGATATACCACCCAGTGAAGGGGGGTTGGACCTCCCCTCTTAATAGGTTCAGGGTGTCGCTCAAGGACATACACAGGACAATCTCTGTAACCACCATGCTGCCACTCCATCCCAAGAGAATGAAAACAGCTCTGGGAAAGACTAAGAGAAAGAGGGAGAAAGAGATGGACTGGCAGAAAGAGTATGTCTCGTCTGCCGAGCTGTTCTCTTTCACATTTCTCTGAGCGTGAGCGGTGCTGCGCTGTCGATTTGTCGACTCGGATTAGCAGTGCAGAGTGGACCACTCTTCTTTATCAGACTGAGACAAGTGTAGTGGAGATGCTCCCTTGAGCACTGGGCTAGATGCAGGGAGGACTGCTGGAGCCTGGACTACTGGTTCTTAAATTACAAGTGGCCACACGGGTAAAGTAGGAAGGCCGAAAATGAGAAAGAGGGAGTTGGGAGGGAGATGTAATTCTGCAAACTGGCACCTCATAAATCTGACATGCAGCCAAGTAGAGAAAAAGCAGGGAATAGGGACGCACGCACATATGTGTGAACAGTCACACACAAGGGAAGAGAGGGGCAACTGAACAGGAAAATGAAGTGGAAATGTATAGGACGGAGACAAGGGAGGAGGTTCTTCCAGAGGACATTGTAGTTGGGCTTCCGTCCACAACCAACCCATGCCCTGTCAATTTCATGCTCAGCAGCCCACAGGCAAAGCGGCAGTTTGCGTCAGTGGAAGGATGCGAGGGTACAGTTAGTGTCGGTAACAGATGGTGTGCAGCAGAGAACCAGACTGTGCTTTTATATTTTGATATGATCTATTACTTCATCCCATCAGAAAACCAAACAGCCAGAGCAAGAAGGCGACAACGTTGCCGTTTATTCGCACATCGGATCAAACTTCAACTGGAGTGTTAGATATTTGTGCCTTACCATATGTAAGATATGTCTTATTTCACATCAAAATTTCATATCTTGTTTCCAATAGATTCACACTACTAATGCCAACAGTTTACAGTTTAGAGAAAATAATGAAATATTTCTAGGCATAAGAGTGTCTTTCTGTTAAATGTCCACATTTTACTAAATGGAATTTAACAATGTCATCTCTGTCAACACTGATTTCATTCTATTGCTACAGGACTGAATATATATCCTGCAAGTCTACTTCATCTTACCTGGGTAGCCATCTTGCCGTAGTCCACCCAGCGCAGGGTGGCAAAGTTTGTAGACTCTGCACAGTTGAAGCCATGGTTGAAGCCAGCATGGTAGCCATACGGAAAGGTGATCATAAACTCCCCTTCATTCTGAGTTATCTGTTCATAGGGAGCAATAAAACACAGATTAAAACATTTTAAATGCAACATGTTTGTAACGTGTACATGTGAACAAAAGATTGCTAAAATTGCCAGGCCGAGTCTGTGAATTGATACCTAACTGAATCCTCTTGTAATTCAGCTGAAGATGTGAGAGAAAATAGTCGTCCACTGCAGTGTCTAGTCCAATAAAGACAACTATGAATCTCAAACTAGCTTGCTAATTAAAAACGTATTAGGTTCCTCATCAATCATACTGTTGAACTTATTTTTAATTAATTTTTAACATTTGTTTAATAAAAAAAATTATATATATTTATTTTATTTATTTTTTCCCGGGGCATTTTGTCTCCATCAGACAGCGAAGGGCGACAGGCCGGACCCTGCCACACCGATACCAGCTCCACCAGGCGAGCCCCATAAAAGGATTATTCTACGGTAACAAAAACATAACAATTCCTCTATTCAGGTGATTATACACTAAAGAAAACATAGTTTTGAATATTATATTCAATTGCTGCCAATAGATCCTCCTACCTTTAATAAGAAACTTTTAAAAAGCAGTCCTTAAATTTTCAAGATCATTTGAAAACCTTTTACACAGAAGACTTTGTTTGAGCTTTCTCAGTTTTGTTTAAGTGGATTTTTACAGAAATCATTTCACTCTGCCTTAACTAGGTGCCCACTTTTTATATCCTCAAAATATTGTAATTTAGGGTTTTCACTTTTGCTCACTTATTCCTTTTTTACATGTATGAGTGCTGAAATGATTAATTCTCTGTGTATGCTTTCTGCTTTGCTTTTTTCCTTATTTATGATGTACTGTTTTCCAATCTACTAAATTATTACTTGCAACTGTGCCTCACAATTTTCTGACCGTTAAAAGTATCATCTGTATAATATCTATTTAATGTTAAAAATATATTCTATTATTACTCATGAGTCTCACATCCACAACAATTGCCATTGAGGAGTTCAACTCCTCAGAAACAACTTTTCTCTAAACTTTTCTGACTTGCGAGCAAAATTAATTCAGCCTAACATGACTGCTGCTCCAAGTGTTGAGTGTCTTCCCATGAGCTCAGTGTTATTCTGAGAAGTGATGAGTTTAAAAATGTGAGGACAAGTAAAGCACATTCTTTTTTTGATGTGTTGCCCCAAAACTTAAGCCCTATATGTCTGGCTGTGGATCTCAACGTCTCTGTGAAGCCGGGATCGAGGCAATCAAGAGACACATCAAGCCAGACAAGGTGACAGGCATGAAGGGAGAAACAGGGGTAGAGGCTGAGAGTGGGAGATAAACTTCCTCAACTAAAGGCAGTGGTTCAGATATCAAACGTCCCTTTCTGCTCTTGCAAGAACGCAAGAAGACGGTTTTATTTTTACACATGAATCGAGAGAGGTACTGTAGGTGTGTAACAAGTAACATGTTCGCTGTGATAATGACGTCCTGAGGGGGGAGTGAAGAGATAAATGGGGTTGGGGCGGAGGCCCTTTGCTGACAGTGGAGAACTTTGTATGCCTGCTCTGTGCCAGTTTTTTTTTTTTCTTCAATCTTCCATTAATTGATGCACTGTGAGGATTTATACTGCCTACTGAATAGAAGAAAAATGGAAAGTTGAAGAAGAAAAAAAAAAGGACAATTAATTTTCTATGACAGGCACAACAGAAGATCATTACTCATACTCTATCATTACTATAGCCTGTAGCAGTTTCGATGTTTGGGTCGAATCTGGCTCACTAACCTCCCTTGTGTTGTCATTCATTCTTTTACTTTTTCTGTCATTTATGCGAGACGCAAAAGATGCAAAAGCGTGCAATTTAATGTAGTTAGCCAAGGTAGATTTTAGTCACTTGACATGCTAGATATTACAGTCCTGCGAAATCTCTTTCTTTAAATGGAGTGTTAGGCTAGACAATTGAATTAGCAGTCAAGAGAGAGGGGAGGACATTGAATGATGAGTGATGCTGTGTCAACACATTTTAAGGTAGGCGAGTGGCTCTACCTATATGCAAGCATCATGGCTCTCATTCAATACTGCTGTGTCTAACGATAACAGAGACTGTCCACTATACTAAGTAGAGCCTGAGCGGTTGATTGGTTGGCCGATATAATCAGCAGATACTGGCCTATTGCAGACATTAGTATTGCAACAGTATCTGTGTACTGTACCTATATATAAACATTTTCTTCCCGCTATATAATGCAGAAACTTATACTAACACTAAGACCAAAATGAGTAATTTTATGTCATGCAACGTAGAACAATGGCCACTCACTCTGTCAAAGGGAATGCCATATTTCTTCAGGATGGACGGAGATATTAGCGTCATCTTGTGGCGAAGGAAGGCGTCACAGCCTTGGGAGCTGCCAGGGAAGAAGCCTGCAGGGAAGGCACAGCGAAGAGGGGACATTTAAGATGTTTCACTGACAATCCAGAGAAACTCAAACTGTCTGAAAAAACCATGTAAAACGACCACGTTATGTAGATCTACGTTCGGTATACAAGGATCATGATTTTAAAATGTTAGGGAAATTCCTTTGTGTCTGTGTGAGGTATTGTCTAGTAACAGAATATCATTGCTGAGCAGACAAATGGGGGATGTACAGTAATTTCAAGGTTATCAGTTAAGGTGACATCAATGCAGCAGGTGTTCCTGTGTTTCCTGGTCCCACAATCCCCTGATCTAACCATTGCCTAGCTCTGTGATCCTTGCCTGTCAACTGGCACAGGATTGGGGACACCACCATCAATGCTGCCACAATATTTGCACCATATTCTGACACCTAATGCAGATGACTGACACTGTAGCACTGCAGTATTGGACCACAATCCCGCAAAACAATCAAGAAATCAACCTCTACGAGAATCGATACATATGAATGCACACCAAGAATACTTGTGTAAAAATTTACCTGAAAATAAAATTATGAATATGTTCTCATTTTAAAAAAGTAAGTAATCAAAAAAAAGAAAAATCACATAACATACATGTGTTGTGTTGATTACTAAAACCTCAGTTTACATGCTGCATGATCACAAGAGGTTCTTTTGGCAGTTTTCAGGGATGGACTAGTAAAGCAGGTAAGTATCTAAGGAATGCCAAAGCATTAGTAATTAAACTATTAAACAGAAATATAGCTGTCTATGGTATTTTTTTGTTAATCCCACAACCTGGAAAGGGAAATCCAGTTTCTCATTGACACAGGCGTGAATTCATTTACTGACAAAAGTGTGGAATAATCACATTACCGAAGTGCATGTAAATGCACTGTTAGTATGGCCCCGAGTTGGATTTCAGGGGATTGCATTATGTCACAAAGAAAGGCTGCAGCACAAAACTGGGACTGCTGCTGTCACTTCCAAAAATCTTCATCTTATTCAGCACGACCAGAGAGGAAACATTTTCCTGGAAGGTCTACATTTGCAATGGCAGTAAATTGTGTATACATACATTGAGCTATTCATTTTAAAAAGCAGCAGCACGAACAAGATTGGATAACAAAGGCTACCAATTGTTTTAACCACGGTCTCATTTGTTTACTGTGTCATAATTAATCCCAAAACAATATAAGGAGGTCTAAAACTGCTGTGCATGTCTATACCCCCAAGGTCAATTGTAAACAAAAAAAACCCATCTGCATTCATCACGCTTCACAAAACCAGCCAAATTGCATAAAGTGCATATCATCAAAAGCCCACTTGCATAGCTGCTGGAACTTTGCAATGTTACCTTTTGTGTTACAAAACAACCACCAGACTTTCTTAAAAACACATACTGCTCTGAGACCATAATATACCCCTCTGACATTTTGGGTTTTCAAAGCCTCTCTAAAACAAAGGCTCACGTTTGCTCTTGGAGACAGAGACAATCAGACAGCCTCTGCATAATCAAAAGCAAGAGTTTCTCCTCCATTACTCACTCCTCCACTCTTTACTGTCTGTACCCGCCAGTGCCTCAAAGGGGGGTCCATCCAACCTCCACCCAGTTAAACTTTAATGTGACTGACAGTATAATCGGCACCCATTTCATCCTTCATTTTCACTGCATTGTTTCAGCCTCTGTTCCACCCTACAAAGCAAGAGATGGAGAGAGGGCCTCTATTCTCCCATCGCCTGCCTGCTTGTTGGAGCTGATAAAGGTGAATAATGTGCCGACAGAGCCCGGGTATTAATCCCCATTAAAATGCAGCTGGCTCTCTGAGCTCTCCGCGGGGTAATATTAACTTAAAGCTTCATTCTGTCCTTTTGAGTTTGAAAATTAAGTTCCTGCCTGCAACCCTGCACCCTCCTCTCTCCTCCCAATCCAGTAAGTGTGAAGCCATGACTACAATAATGCGGAGATGAGGAGCGATAAGAGCAGCGGCTGTCGCTGTGTCAAATGTTTGGAGAGGAGTTTTCAAGTAACAAGACCATTGTCCCAGCCCCATTAGGCATTCCTACTACGCTCATAACTGTCTTTTTAGGACCTCGTAAACAGTTGGCTACCTGTGCTGACGATGGCTTTGATAGGTCAGTGGGTGCTTGTTAAATAACGTTGGCATTGCTTTACTCCCACTGCCAGCTGCTTAGATAAGAGGAGAGAGGAAGGCTGCAATCGGACTGTGACTAAAAGCTCAATGCCAAGCATGAAGAGTGTGACAAAAAATGTCTATAGTGTGTATTTTAAAATTCAGAATCTGAGCCTTTTTGATACTCTTATCAAATCTATTTAGGTTTAGTCTCAATCTTGTTGAAAAAAATAATCAAAATTAGCTTCACTGACTCAAGCTATTTGTAATGATTACTGCAGGTCCAGATTCAGAACTTTTAGGTTAATAAGCTCAAAATAATAATATGAAATACTTGTCCCAATCAGCTAAAGAGGACTAACCACTCTCATTTAAGTTTTAAATTGCAATATTGAAACAAAATTGAAAAGACAAAGAGGGCACTTCAGAGCATCAGCGCTCCTGACAAACAATGTGACTGGAAGTTAAAATCTGCTTGTTGTCAGTGCACAGCACTTTGGTATTTATGGCCATTTAACAACAACTGTCAGGTGATTCTTCATCAGCAGAGACTTTGTGTACTATGACTTAAATTGTCAAAATAATAATGCTTATGAGATAATACTAATTGTGCCTCCATTCCATTTAGGTGGGCCAGTAACAACACAAACAACACAAGAGCCGTGGAACTGAAACAGAAAGCAGCCATTATTACAGTTATTAACGTCTGTTGCGAAATTGATTTATTTGATCCAAGGCAGTGGTTCTTTTTATACTGATTTTGCAGGTATTTTACTTAAATATGAATCATACATTTGTGAGTTACACCTGTGATTCCGATTCATATAGTTCAAGCCACAGTCATATGCACATGTACATACATGTACGTCTAAAACTAAATCTGTGATCATCCTAACAGTATGTCGACATCAATTACACTCTAAATCATGTTTAATATTACTTGGCCAGTGCTGTTTTTTATTTTTATTTCAAAGAGATTGCTTGTCTGTCTCATGTCACACATTGTGCATTACATATCACACATTGTGCGTTACATATCACAACCGTACAAAAGAAGGATATTAAGTGGCATTGGTGATCATCGATTTGTTCCAGCTCTTCACAACAACAAGGACAAACGGTGTCCATTTAATGTAGTTTGGGATTGAGCAACTCTCCATCATCGTCCCCACATCTTATACCTCACTCTGAGCAACATACAATACGCAAGTTAATCCTCATTGATCCAAACAAGGGATAAAAAGAGGAGGAGGAAGAGGAGGAGAACATGGGAGGTGGAAATAAAAGGGAGAAGCACAAGGAGACATCTTATGTCAGAGAGAAGGGTAGATGGATGAAGAAACACTAAAGGCAGAGTGGTTAAAGACTATTTCACTTGTGACTATTTATCTGAGTCACTCAAGATTTTGTGAATTTGAGAAATAACCAACCAACCAACTCATTCTGCAGAACAGGCAGTTGATGCTGCTGGCTTCAGTTCAACAAGCCTCTCCTCCAAATTCACCATCTACAGCCCTGCTGATCTTTATAGTGCAGGTGACTGCACACACTTTGTTCTTCAAGCCACTCCTCCTTCTTAAAAAGGTCCATTTTTGCACCATCAGGTGACTAACAAATCTATGTTCTTGTATGTGGTGAGAAAGTGTGATATAAGAGTTTCTCACCCACTGAGTACATGCAAAAGATTTTTTCAGTGTGTGGCCCGCAGCGTATATTACACAGTTCATTGTGAGGACTATCATGTCTGCCAGACGAGGTTGTTTAGTGTGAGTGGTAAAGGGTTCTTAACAGTATTGCGCATGCTGTGCTCAAGAGGAATGATGCAGGGTGTAACTGAGAGGTGCTACTTTACTTCCCTTACTCCTTTTCACAGGAAAACAAGTAAGTGTGCTTTGGATGTGTGGCATGTGTATGATTTCATGGTGTGTGTTGACCAGTCTGAAGCATTTGCTCCTTTGCTTAATGTGCATGTGCTTTGTGTGACAAACAGAAAGCAGAGGCATGGTGCTGAAGGGTAAAATAGGCAAAAGCAAATGGATTTTAATTGAAAACATCAGCAGGCCCTCACCTTGTGCCAGCCTCTCCAGCCTCTTGCCGTGCTCAGGTGGAACCGCATACCTGCAGACAGAGGGGAAACAAATTGATCAGATTATTACAGGAAGCACACAATTTTGACATCTGAAGCAACATAAAAAACAAGGTGTACCATGCCTTATATTGCATTTAGTTCCATTTTCTAAATCATCTTCTTCCACTAGCTAGCAAAATATAACTCCCTCTGATTTCTCTCGGGCATTTTCCCTAGAACTCCTCATATATGTGTGACATTCTTTGATATCATCATTTTGGAATGACAAGATCTTTACATCTTTAACCTCTGAACCCTTTGGGTTCTTTCTGTTCCTCAGCTGCTGATCTATGAATTTCTATCCTGTTGAGTTTACTCTTTAAGACCTGACGAGTAGACAATGTTTCACCTTGAGATTGAAAATTTGACACAATATAGTCTTAATCCTCATAGCAAACATACAGAGATGAGAGGAAAGGGGAATAACAGATCTTTTTTTTTTTTACAGATCAGTCACAGTCTGAGCTGTAACACGGTAAATGACACATGGTCATGTGTACTTTGCTAGCTGGCTACAACTAAGTTGGTACATGACTGCAAAATCCTTCCAGCAATCTAATTTGCACAAATAACAGGCAATGAAAAGAGTTAACTCTTAACATACCTTGAGAAGTAAAGCTGACACAATAGTATTAAATGCGGCCCTACGTAACAGCATTGTCTAGATACTCATATATTTATAATTTGAAAGGGAACAAAAAGGGGAAAACGGGAGGTAGAAAAGACTAAATGACCGGTGAAGGGCAGGACAAGGAGAAATGACTGTTTTGGGAGTGCTGGCTTATTTCACTGCCCTCAGCATTCACTGTTTTAAGAAATGAAATTACCCATGAAGAACACCTCATCACCCCTTTCTCCCCTTCTGTTTTACACATGAAAACATTGTGCTAATCAATCATTATTCTTATCAATGCCTGGTGGACTACTACCATGGTGCTTCGATCTGTTTGAATCTGTTTTGATCTTCTCTAGTTTGTCTTTGTCCTTTAAGGTTTTGTTTTCAAGCTGCGGGAAATCAGCAAGTAAGACCCCTCTTTTTGTGTTTTTATCATATGTTAATGTTTTTCCTACTCTGCTTATGTTTTACTACTGTACACATACAGTGGCCCTGTGGCACTGGTTCAGTGTTGCTCCACAGTTAAAGCAAAATACCTACTGTTACCAAGACGTCAAGATAATGAGGTAGATACTGTAAAGCATATGCTACATTTAGAAAGCGAGTTTATCTGTAAAAACAGAGTGGGAGGGAGTCAGCAAAACTCAAATCTGATCTGTTCATTTGTGACGTTATTACAACGCTCTTTATTACTGCAATTATTTTCTTCTGAGTTGCCTAACCCCCCAGAGACATCAGGCAATGAACAATGGGTGGGGGGAAAAGGTGACACTCCTCCCTCCTAACACAACCCTCAACAACTACATGGATGTTTGAAAAAAAAGGGAGAAAGAAGTGAAAATTAAAAAGAAAGAACAAAGACGGAGAGATGGTGAGAAGCAACAACACTTAAGGGGAGAGAGAAATGGAATGAGCATATATATATAT